GTGTGTGTGTGTGTGAGAGAAAGTGAATTGTTGTTGCGTACATATATAAAATATTTGTTAAGTATTAAGAGAGACGTATTATTATTATTATTATTATTATTATTATTATTATTATTATTATCATACCATTGAAATATTTGTTAAGTATTAAGAGAGACGTATTATTATTATTATTATTATTATTATTATTATTATTATTATTATTATTATTATCATACCATTGAAATGGTTTTAATATACCTAGTTTCCATTGTGATTATTGTGTTGTGGGTGCACATGCGTTTTAGTGGAAGCCATAACACAAGGCACAAGGTTCAATTTAAATTTCAAAATGGTACTAAAAGGACGCCTATATTAATGTAATGTATAGATAGGCCTACCATGCTAGCGGAAGTTGTTCTAAAAAGCATCCCTTATCAGTGGCTTTTATACGCAAGCTACCTGATGTTATTCAAGCACATTCAATAGGGACAGATCCGATTTCATCCCATGGGCATCGTATAAACATACAGTATCATTATTGAATGCCTTTGTCCCGCTGAAAGATAACCTTATTTTTATATTATATACCGATAGCATACAGCAAATAGTGTTGTTAACCTGTACCCTACATGTACTTCTGGCTCACCAAAAATGTCTACAGTGTTAACAACTTCCAGTCAAAGCAATTACCTCTTCATGCAGAAGTAGGCCTATATAGTTAAATGTTCCACACAGGATTGAATGCGAAAGACAAAATAGATAAAGGCGTAACAAAAGCGAACCGTGTGTTATTCGATGGATGAACACACCCATCTGAACACACCAACTGGTACCACTGAATCACGCTTTAATTTATGAAGCTGCATGACTCAACAAAGCCTTTTCCATACTTTAATTTAGTAAATATATAATATTAATGGTAATATGTGTAAGATTTAATTCATAAGTATAATAGACTATATAGGCCTTTATAGATTTATTCTCATGTATAAATTGAAACAATTATTATTATCATTATTACTATTAGGCCTATTATTATTATTATTTTTATTATTATTATTGTTATTATTATTATTATTATTAATATTATTATTATTGTTGTTGTTGTTGTTGTTGTTGTTGTTGTTGTTGTTGTTACTATTATTAAACAAAATTCCGATTCCGACTTCGAGGTGTTTACGTCGGGCGCAGACACACCAATTTTCTATTTTCTATGTTTATCAAAAAGTTAAAAAATAAATATATTTATATTTTCTGTATGTTTAGAAGGTAAAAATCCAGGAGAGTATTTCCATGAACTGCTGATGGTGCGTGTCAACACGAAGTCTTCGTTCTGGCGACAAAAAAAAAGAAACTTCCTCTATAATATAGTCCCCATATGTTCATGAGCTCGGAGGCGATAGGTCATTAAGCAGTCGTGGCTTCCCGCCTTTTGAAATAAACTCGCTGGAGCCTCTGCTCGCTGTTACTTGCTAGCTACTTCTTTTATTCTGTAAGCACCTTGATTACAGTGTGTACCGGCAGTACTTTAAGCTTACGGTGATGTGTGTGAGGTATTCTTGTTTTTGGATGTTTTAGGTTCACGGTATTTTTATGCTTTCCCTTTCTTGAGGTTAGCACTATATCAGTATAGGTTTATGTGCACTTTGTTAATGTTAATATTATCATCATCATTACCATTAATCCTTATCATCATCATCACCTTCATCATCATCATCATCATCATTATTATCATCATCATCACATTCATTTTATCATCATTGTCATCATCATCGTCATCATCATCATCATCATCATCATCATCATCATCATCGTCATCATCATCATCATCATTATTAACAATATTATTATTATTAACTATTATTATTATAAGTAGGCCTACTCCGTTTTAATGTGAGTAAAATACGAAAAAAGCAAAACATTTTATAGGTTTATACATTTAGGCCTACTCTTCTACGTTATATCAACAGAGACCATTACAACATAAATGTACAGTATAATAT